AGTAATAAGTAATTAGTAATAACCTTTTCATAATAAACTGTATTGTTGGCCATGTGATTTCAATGCTGATTTGTACAATACATACATGTGCAGTTTCATATATTTATATGATGTTTGGAAGGATGGTCAGATTAAAAGCTCGAGTGCAAGTACATTTGGAGTGTTTTATTTCCTTGGTTACGAACTGGTGGTCAGCATTTGCTAAATAAGTGTATTGCTTTGAAGTACATTTTACTGCTATTGTGTGCATGTGAGTAAAGTAATATAATTATAATAGGTAATTAAAATGATGTTCATCACATCAGTTGCTCTTGAATGTATTTGGGCAATGCAGTTGTTTTCAAACTTCAATAATTTTATTTTACCTGTAGATGGTGCTATTAAATCACTAATTCTAAATGGGTTGTCCAAACTTGCTGAAACTGAGCAGATAATAATGGTTCACCAAAATTAGATTTGAAGGTCCTGTACATTTTAATTGCTGAACTTGATTTGAATACTGTCAATCAGCTGATCAGTCATTTCTGGAAGAAGGTGCCAGTTGGTTGTCAGGGAAGGAAGAATAATCAGGAAGTCCAGAAGTTATTTCCTGACGTCGGGAAAAGGATATCGCAGAAAGGAGCTCACCAGGGCGGAGAGTGGTTACAATTTCCAGAATCTTGCATTTGGAGAGGAAGGCTTAGCCCAGGACAACACAGACCTAGATTATTTTTGTGACCCTGGAGGAGGACACTTGCTTCTGTTCACTCTTTATTGGGAAGTTTTGTACCTTTTTTCAAAAACAAAACAGGTTTCCTGTGCAATTGCTCACTTTTCATTCTTTGCACACCCACACCTAACACTACAGTGTGTTCGATTTTACTGTGCAGGAGTGTGTAGGTGTAGTGTTAAAACTGGCAAAGTTGATAGCAGGTTATGAATCTGGTTTCAAGCTGTCAACTTTGGAATTTTAGTGCAGTAGTATTGGTGCATAAATTCCCATCGAAGAAGTAGCTTGTGAATTAGCATATGCTAATCACTAAATTAGGGGATAGTGACACAATCTTTCCTTACTTCCACACTGGATCCGTATGTTTTCTGGTTCCTGAAACTTGCCAGTGAAAGCAAGGTACCAACTGAGAGGCCTGAATTAATCTCAGAGAGGATTATTTAAATTCATTGAGAGGATGGGGGTGGCTCAGTGGTTAACACTGCTGCCTCACATCGCCAGGCACCCACGTTCAATTCCACCCTCAGACAACTGTCTGTGTGGAGTTTGCACATTCTCCCCATGTCTTCATGGGTTTCCTCCAGGTGCTCCAGTTTCCTCCCACAGTCCAAAGATGTGCAGGTTAGGTGGATTGGCCATGTTAAATTGCCCATAGTGTTCAGGGATGTGTAGATTAGGTGGGTTATAGTGGGGTGGGTCTGGGTGGGATGCTTTGAGGTTCAGTCTGGACTTGTTGGGTCAAAGGGCCTGTTTCCACGCTGGAGGGATTCTATGATGGTAAGATGCAGGCTTTACTGGCCCAGCTAGCATTTATTGCCCATGCATAATTGCTTTTGAGAAGATGTTGCTGAGCTGACTCTTGAACTACTGCAATCCCTTTAATGTAGGTGCATTCACAGTGCTCACCTCAATTTGAGAAAAATAATTATAATTATTTCTTCAAGCTTTTTTAGATTACCTAGGTGCAAGAGAGATTTTAAACTTACATTTTTTTTGCAATCATCAGATTTCTCAGAAGATTAATCATTTCTTTAGAACTTATAACTGGCCAGTTATAATTTGTGAAAAGACTAATTGATACATGGCTTTTTAAAATTATTTATTTTTATGTAGAATGCTATAACAGTAGAACTACAATGCTGTTTTGTTATGCTTCACTGAGGTAGCATTTTGGAAATCAAGTCCTACTATCTTTGGAGCGGCCATAAAAGTCAAAAAATGTTATAACAAGTACACAAAATTCCAAATTTTTTCCGTCTTTTAGACTTGGGTTGACAGAAAGCATAGATCAGGTTTCTCTACTTAACAAGCAGTACTGTTTGTTACAAGTAAATAGATTCGAGCTACAGGTAAATAATTATGAAACAACAACATATAACTCTACCAGTTAAAGCTCTAACCCCTTACAAAATATACCTTACATACAGTCAGACAGGTAGGAAAAAGAGTGTCATTGGTGAAGGGAAACTGTAGGAATGGTCCCTCTCTGCAGGGTTCACTGAGATGATCGTTTTGCCTTGGCAGGTACTGTTGCTTCTCAATCTGTCTTTCCCGGTGCTTACACTTCTTGCAGGAGGTAGTGACTGGTTCATATTTTTCATGCCCCTGACTTACTGGTTAAGAGCCATAGCTTACAACAACTGATGAAGGAAAATAAATTGGCTTTCTTCAGGCTTGAGATGTCTTTGACTGCAGAGAGAAGGAGAACTCCTTCCTTTTCAGTGGTCCAATTACTTCTGACCCAAGCATGCACACACGCAAGCTGTTCAGCTCCCTGGGAGCCAATCACATAGTTGTTGGAAGGCAAAAGATCTTCGTCATCAACAATTGGGTGCCATTTGTAGACCACACAGCAAATTGTTGATGGTACGGTTCACTTTGCTTGAAGAAACAGCAGTGTTTATCGCAGGTACAATGTGTCAGGTATTTTGCTTTAAAAAGTGCAGCAATTCTTTCCAGATCTTCCTATCCTTTCCTGTTTTTAAACAGTCCTTTTCCCATTTCAATCCACAATCAAAAGTACAGAAAAAGTAAATTGTTACTCTCTTTACAATTTTGGCACTGTGACAATGAAGGAATGGTGATTTACTTCCAAGTCAGAATGATGAATGGCTTGGAGAATTTGCAGGTAGTGGCATTCCCATGTATCTGCTACGCTTGTCCTCCTAGATCGTAGTACATGTGTGCATGGAAAGTGCTGTCTAAGGAGGTTTGGTAAAATAATATTTTGCTGGTCCTAAACTTCCTTGTAATCTTCAGCACAAGTATTATCATTGTATTGTTTATTCACTGAAAATATTGGAGAAGTTAAGAAATTAGCATTTTTAGCATATAATAAATTTATGTTAATCTGTAGTAAATTGCATTGAAAACTCTTCTGTTTTTAGCTTTATGACTTCTTCTTCTGTCATCAACTTCCTCTGAGTTCATTTACATAGCTGCACTGTTCAACAGCACATATGTTCTTGTGTTGTGGCATCCAAGAACATTTTTTAACTCCTACCTTTTTATCATTTTTGCTCACTGATGTCTGAACTTCATCTATCAATGCACTTTCCTCTCTTCTAAGATTTGGTTTGAGCACCTGACATCCCTCAACCCAAACCCACATTCGGGTTGAGACACTGGCTTGCTCTGAGACGTGCAGTTTTATGTCATCGTGGCAGAATAAAAGTTTCATTGTTAAGTGCCTCTAGACCAGGAGAATCCGACATCTGACCGAAAACTGAATAGTACCAAATACTACCTTCATCAACAAATGTGCAAACATCTGATGACTGTCTCTTCAAGCATATCACTGGAGATAACTTCCAAATTAATCAAAATGATTTGCTAAGTTTCATTGTCTTCAGCAGTTAGAGCACCAGCAGCCCTCAACTATAACAACTACACGTTCTTCCAGACTGCCACAAGGAATCGGTACAAAATTGGCCTTGTACTCTCATGGCAGGTATTATGCAATGACAGATAATTGTTTTAAAAAGCAGACATATTTCTTTGTCTGGATGCTTTCTCAAAGAGCAGACTTACTTGACTGGATTTAATGACTCTTCCACATGTCTGTTTTCTGTGGAGGTTGCACGTAATATCAGATGCCCGGCCCAAACTTTCTTCACTCTTGATCTGTTACTCGTAATACAAGGACTGAATAAGGCACCAACGAGGCAGCCCACCTTTAAATCAAATGCTAGTGGGCTTTTCTAGTACTTGTTATGATTCTACTATTTAGAAGTGCTGCCTTAGCCAAAATGAAAGCATCATCTCATTGTTCTCTCACCAACGCCTTTTGCTTGGGGAGGCTGAATTTAAGATATCCTTTGAATTGCTTTGGTAAGGAAGAACTGCTTCTTCAGGTTTTAGTCCTAAAAATGGGTGCTGTGATTGTATTCATAACTTGAAATCAGTTTACATTGCTCATGAATTAAATTCAATTTACTGTGCTTAAGGCTTGGAAATGTATTAAAGGATGGTATATGCATCTCCCAGCTTATAAGACATTTCCTATGTATGGAAGTCCCATCAGAACAAAGGTTAGTCTGCTGATATTTGGAATGAGGTTTTTCTTGGATGTATTAGGGCAATCCTAGAATTGACTAGAGCAGAAAACTTGAAAACATTTCAAACATCAAAACTACAACTGGATTATCAACCTTCAGCATGTTATGTGTGTTAAATTCTGCAAATGGTTAAATCAAAATCATTGAGGTACCACTATTATTACATTACTGTTTGCCTGATCTGTTGCATTCTTTGAATCATGTTTCAGGAGTTCAACTTTTTGCAATTTGATTAAAAAGTGAATTTTCTTTTCAATATTGGTTCAAGGGCAACTGATAATTGGCAAAGCAAGAGACAGATTGCTAGTTTAGCAGAAGAGGTCCCCTGTCTTAGTGTACATTTCTGTGCGAACACTGACACAATGTTATTGGTTAGATGAGTTCTGATGCCGAGCATAATCACTAGCTGTGATGGAAGCAGGTGATTGTTGTTGGGAGCAGATAGGCAGGTCCACGACAGTGTCAGCACGATCTTTATTCACAGATGATCGTTGTAATTTCAACAGCTTCTCCCTTTTTTTTTTACATCGATTTAAATTTCAGTAGCTATTGTAAAAGGCGTAGTGAATTTTATCTTTAGATCAAATGCATTAGCTGCTGCTACCATAGTCGAGAAAAGGAAAATTTCATTTGCACGTAGCAAGCAATCATACATTATAGGATTTGGAATGAGCTGAGCTTTGTGTATTTTTACATTTTGTACACTTGTGGATTAAATTTCTGTTGCATCCAATATGATTTTTTCTGAAATGAGCACGGTTGCTGACTCTGTTAAAGTTCATCCACCTAATGGAACAAGATTTTATACTTTTCAGGTAAGCGCAGTAATAGTTACAAAATGTACAACTTCCATAATCGTCTCTTCAGGATTAGGTAATACAGCAGAAAATCAATAAAATGGTGTCCGATGTACTGCTCCAGTGCTCTATATATTTTAATTTAGTATTGTGTTTGTATTAAAGAATGAAGCTTTTTCACTGGACTGAAAGAGCGACATTTTTGAAGAACTAAAGGCTGCATGAACAACTTGATTTAATTGATATATAACTGTAGTGGAGAAATTTTTGAGATAAATACAATAATGCAAATCATTAACAATTTAAAAAGATAATTTCTTTGTAGCCATGAATTAAATTGTGCACCTTTTGAAATTGAATTTATCTTTGTAGAATAATTCTGCTGCATCACTTCTGTTGTCCATTTTGTGATTTTTGCCTCATTCTTTATAGTTCGATGGTAATATTAGAATTTTTTATAAATGCTGTAAAGTGTAGAGAAAATGTCTCGACAATTTTGAATGGAGCTACATAGGGTCTGCTATTTAATCTTTTCTAAGTGTGGTTCTTTTAAATGAAACATGCCTTCAGTAGTTCTTGCAGTTTTTAGGAAATCTTTGTTTTGTGGAGAATTGTTATCATTTTGAAGAAATGTCTCATTTATTCAGCTACCATTGCTAAGCTGCATATGTGACTGCAACTATGCTGACATTTCATCAGTGCAATAAAATTAATCTTTGCTGTAAGAGGAGATAATGTTACAGAAAACAAAATGCAATCTAGATTGAAAATACTGAATGACGTCTGAAGACATTTTCTTATTTGCATCAAGGAGATCTTGTATATGATATACTGCTATTTTGTATGATAGCCCTTAATATTTTGTACGTTAATTTCAAATCTAAGCAGCTGGGCTGATAGTAGTCTGTTGTACCAGCGGGTGGCATTGTGGCTCGGTGATTAGCACTGGTGCCTCGTAGCTCCAGGAACCTGTGTTCAATTCTACCCTTAGGTGACTGTATATGTGGGGTTTGCAAATTCTCCCTGTGTCTGCGTGGGATTCCTCCCACAGTCCAAAGATTGCAGGTTAGGTGGATTGGCCATGCTAAATTGCCCATAGTGTCAGTGGATGTGCAGACTAGATAGATTAGCCATTGGGTTACAGGGATAGAGTAGGAGTGTAGGCCTGGGTGGGATGCTCTTCGGAGGGACTCGATGAGCTGAATGGCCTGCTTCCGCACTGCAGGGATTATGATTCTGTAAAATAAGTAAAATTTGATTAGGAATTTATGCTTAATGTTTCTTATTAATTTGCAGTAGAATCTATTGTCAGGTTGTAAAGAGTGCTATGTCTTGTGAAGTTAGTAAATAACAAACCTCATGAAATTAAGGTTTTGAAAATTTGGGAGTACATCTGCAATACGTTCCTTTGCAAGCGGCTAATGACAAATAGTGGTTAACTGCAGTGTGAGAGAACTAAATCATCCTGCTGTGTTGAATTTGATCTATTTTCATCAAAGATTTAATTTTGTTTATTGTTTATTCTTCTATACCCCTACTTTAAGCTAATTTTGACCATCTACAATTGAAACAGTTCAACTGTATCATAATGAAAGCATACTTTATTGAAGGCAAAGTAATTAATTCCAGTCAAATTGTGGAAAATTGTAAATACATGAAAAAGTACTGTTGATATTTATATTTCTATATGCTTCTCGGAAATACTACATTTTTCAATTAAAAATGTATTCCTGCTCTCCTTCTGATCTTTCAAATTGCTGTAGACCATTCTATTCTTAGCAAATGGGCACATGCATGTTCTAAAGTTATTTTTTGATAAGTCTCTGTAATGAACCTCTAGAAGGAAATGAAAGAAAGGTTACTTAACAAGTACTTCTCCTTTCTTTGTTTGCAACTCTGTTGTTTCTGCTTACTGGTTCCAATTAATCTAACATCAGCAGATGTAAATTTCTAAAGACTCCTGCCAAATTAATTTTCACTTAGAGAGTTATGGCAAATCATATCTGACTAAACTGATTAGGGTGTTTGAAATAATGGATTGATGGTAGTCTAGTTAATGTTGTATGTATGGACTTTCAAAGTATGCCTAATAAAGTAACACATTAATCAGACATATCAGATAATGAAAGACCTGCACTAAATGGTTAATAGTTGAGTAAAGATTAAGAGGTAGACAGCGGAGTTGAAAAGTTTTTTTTCTGATGGTAGTGTGAGAAGTATTAAATGGGATGCCTCGGGGGTTAGTGGAGGGCCCATTATTTTGTTAAATATAAATGATATGAATTTTGGCATAAGGGTTACAAAAGTCACAGATGATATTAAATTTGATAGAACAGTAGAATGAGCAAGATATTATCAGACTTCAAGAGGACCTGAATAGGTAAAATGGACAGATATGTTCCATTTATTATGGATTTATGTGAAATAATGCACTTTAGGGGAAGCAACATGGAGAAATACCATTATACCAGGGGAGGTATGGCCTAGTGGTGTTATTACTGGACTGTTAATCCAGAGATGCAGTTAATGTTCTGGGGACCCAAGTTCAATTCCCATCACAGCAGATGGTGGAATTTAAATACAATAAAACATCTGGAATTAAGAGTCTAATGATAACGACGAATCCATTGTCGATCGTAAGGAAAAGCCCATCCAGTTCACTAATGTCCCTTAGGGAAGGAAACTCCCATCCTTACCTGGTCTGGCCTACATGTGATTCCATACCCACAGCATGTGACTCTTAACTGCCCTCAGGGCAATTAGAGACGGGCAATAAATGTTGGTCTAGCCAGTGGCGCCTTAATCCTATGAATGAATAAAAAAAGAATAGGGTGTGTTCAAAAGCAGATACTTGGTGTACACATTCACATTGATTAATATAGCATGTATAAAGCAATTATTTGCTCTAGTAAGTGATAATTGGCAAAATAAATTATGGGCAATTAAAAGGGTGTTTTTTGCAAAGAGGGTGGTTAAAATCTGTAATGCATTATCTAACAGGCTAGTTGGAACAGATTCCACTGGAATTTTCAAAATTTATATATGATGTTGATTTGCATAGGAATGGGAGGATAAAAAGAAACTGAGGTTTGAGACTAAAGTGCACAGAATTTTGCAAGGACTAATACAGACATGATGAGCTGAATGGCCTCCTTCTCTGCTGTAAGAGTCTCTGATTCTATGACTCCCAGCATTAGATTGACCATGATTTGGAAATCATTGGAAGTGGATACGGATTCTCATTATCCAAGTAGTAAAGAACACAAAGAGGTCTAATTTAAGGGGCTAACCTCTTATTGGACCTCAAGGCTGACAAATCCTCAGCAACAAATGGTTTGCATCCTAAGACCTTAAAAGAAGTTGCAACAGAGATAGTAGTTTCAACATTCTACAGTCTTGTAAAATTTCTTAGATCCCAATAGCTTAGAAAATAGCCAATGCAGTACCTTTATTGAAAAAGGGATCGAGAAAGACAGTAGGAAACTATAGGTTAGTTAGCCTAACATCTGTCCTAGGGAAATTACTGGGGTTGAGACCACAATCAGATCAGCCATGATCTTATTGAATGTTGGAGCCGTCTTGAAGGACTGGATGAATTCATTCTACTCTTTAATCCTATGTTCTTATGTTCTTGCATTCATGCAATGTTGAAAACACATCCAATTGTTTAGACAGTAGAGAGGAATCTCTCACAACTGCTTAAAAAACATTAGACCTCTAAGTATGATCATTAAGTGCTGACTTGTCTGTTTAAGAACCCAAGCAGGAAATTAATTTATAGATTCCCCTTTGCTATTGTTCACTTATTATCCCACCAAAATAGTGCTGCTGATAGTATTGCTGAAACTGTGACGTATCCCACAGATTGTTGGAGATCAGGAAATTGAATAATCACATAGGAGATGAGTAACTCTACAGCAATGTTTTAGCTGGGAATCACTTCCATTACTTTTATGTTCCAGCAGATGAGCATTTAAAAGCATTTCATAGAAATGTCTGAGAAATTAAAGTAATTTTACATTGTAAACTGAAAGATTGCCATTTAAAATTTTTGTTGTTCCTGTGCTTTGAAGAGAGGGACATGAGGAGGAAAGGATGGAAACTCTGAGTGTGGCGACAGGGACACCTGAATCCCAAATAATGGTGCATATTTATTCTGTATCTTTCCATGTCTAACTGAGATTAATACAAACACCTCTCTATCCCTCCCATCATTCCAACTCACGTCAGACATAGATTTTTGATGAGTAATTGTGAGGCTATTGCATTTGTTTTACCTCATGCAAAATGGAAATTACTGGCAAGGCCATCCTTTTTTGCCAGTCATTATTGCCCTCAAGCGAAGAATTGTGAGCCAGCTTGTTGGACTGCTGTAGTCAATTAGTCAATGCAGGGATGTCCAAATTACTCTTAAAAAGCGAGTTACAGGATTTTGATCCTATGATAGTGAAAGAATGGTGATATATTTTGAAGCTAGGATGTGAGGCATGGAGTGGAACTTTCAGGTAGTTGTGTTTTCATGCTTCTGTTAGCCTTCTCTTTCTAGTAGAGGACATAGATTTGCAAGATTCTGACCAAGTAACCTTGATGAGTTGCTGCTGTATATTGTATACACTGCTGCCACTGTGCGTCAGTGGTGGAGGAAGCAAATGTGGATGGAGTGCTGATCAAGTAGACTGCTTTGTCATAGTTGGCATCAGCTCCTTGTGTGTTGTAGGAGTTGTGCTCATCCAAGCAAGTGGGGACTATTCCAATACACTCCTAACTTGTACTTTTTAGGTATTGTCAGCGTTTGCAATGTTAGACAGGACATTTGAAAAACATTAAGGCAATTGGACAAAGCCAGTGTGGGGTCACTATGGGTCACAGTCTCAGGATATAGGATAGACCATTTAGATCTCCGATGAGGAAACATCTCTTCACTCAAAGGGTAGTAAATTTTTGGAATTCTTTACCATAGAAGACTGTGGAGACAGAGTCACTGAATACATTCAAGAAAGAGATAGATGCATTTTTAG